TTGAAACAAGACTGCATGCAGTGGCATAAAAAGGGCACAGCACCTCCCAAGAAGTTTAAGGTGTCACAGTCAGCTGGGAAACTCATGGCAACGGTCTTTTGGGACTCAGAAGGAATATTATTGATCGATTATAAAGATAAAGGTGTTTCTATAACCGGAGAATACTACGCTTCAATATTAGAGCAACTCAAAGAAGCCATTAAAGAGAAAATACGGGGAAAATTGACAAAAGGTGTGTTGCTTTTGCACGACAACGCACCCGTCCACAAGAGCCGCGTTGCGTTGGCTGTCCTGCATAAGGTGGGCTTCGATATTTTGAATCACCCACCCTACAGCCCAGACCTGGCACCCAGCGATTATTACCTGTTTCCAAAAATGAAAAAAGAGCTGCGGGTTAAAAAAATTACCAACGATGATGAATTCAAGGAGGCAGTTTCGGCGTATTTTGAAGACAAAGAGAAAATATTTTTCATGAGGGTATAAACAAATTAATTGAAAGATCTGAAAACTGTATCCGTCTTGCAGGTGAATATATTGAAAAGGAAAAATTATTTGGTTTTTTTATTTCCACTCCTTATCCCCCATTCCGCGGACATAAAAACGCTCCCTCGTATATTTATGTCTTAGGCATGTGTACTAGTATCATAGGCCACACATTACTAATAGTGTTACTGTTAAAAGATTGCTACTAGTCAAGCCATGAGCTTGTGTAAGGAGAGGCTTTAGGCGTTAGTTTACTGAGTGAGGTTTAAACCCTCGCAATTTGATCAAATGTACGACGATACGCGCTATCTTTGCGCTATGTTTTTGTAATGTATTAAAAAGAAAAACGACTAAATCGCCATTAGCGTAATACCGCTCTGGTCACGTTACCCTCGGTCCCAGGGTAAATACGTTATTGATCAGTAACTTTCTCAGGGTCTAAGAGATGTTAATGACTTAGTTAATAGAGCTACTGTGAGCATACGAGGCTAACTAATCTCTAAAATCCTTTTAGACGTCATGCGAAGACTTGCGTGGTCAATCATCGGATATCACATATTACGATTAGTGTTATGACCGGGTCAATGACTGGTGAAATGGACTACTTAAATAAGATGTGAGTGAAATTGGTGAAGAAAATACAGCTTAATCTTTCTTTTTTTTAAGACTACTCTCGCATTAGTAATATATTCTGTGTCACGGGTGACTTTACAAACATACATGAAACGTACGCAAAGAACACCCAGACTGAGAACAACAATTTGTGCATCACACAAAGCGTCGTCCCATGTGGGGATCTACGACTACGCTAAGTGTTGTGGGTCCGGTCCACGCCGCTCACTACTAAGTGAGCGGCGTGGCGCCTAAACCACTACGCCATCCGTGCAGTCAAATTAACCGTATGCTTTACAGATTACGACGTTTGCACAATATCAAAAGAGATAAAAGTCAATGCAAGCAAACTGAAACTTAATTGCCATTCTTAATTTAAAGACATATTCCACAAACGTAAACAAATATTTGAAGTAAATAAATTATTAATACAGGACTTTGAGCTTAAATTTACAAAGACGTATGAGTTTCATTTAGAATATTCACATACTATAAATTAGAAGAAACAATATTAGCTCAATTACTTCAAAGAGGCATCAATTTTCTTGAATCCTTTAATTTTCTTTTCATACCTATCTTTGAATTTGCTATCCAATAGGCCGAAGGTAAGCGGGACGATCAAATCGATTTTAATATGTTTAACGGAGAGGGAGATCCCGATGACGAACAGTTTTCACCTTTCGAGTCTAATGAAATTATGTACTCCTACTGAACTGTCTAAGTAAAGTCTGTTTATTATTAAGGGCCTTTTAAAAGACATTTAGACATGCTCGCACTTCAATTAAAAGAGATCACAGCATGCAATAAAAGCAGGGCAGACAGTTATAACCATCAAAAAGTATCATAGCGCAAAAAGAATCAATTAAATGAAACTGGAAAATAATAATAATTTACATATATATATATAATTTATATACTGTATAATATGTTTGTAACATGTATTTATTGTAATAGCCATTTCCGAAACCAGTGAGTTGAAAGTGATTCAAAATATAATATCCATTGCCCAATCTTGGCAAGGCATAATTGCTCGTGCATCGTGCTCGTGTTACTAAACTAAGCCAGAAAAATCCGTAATCGATACCTATCCAGATAAAAACAATACCAAAGATTGTCATAGACAAATTATGTGGCATTCGTGACCTCACCTATTCTGAAATTATTGATTCCTATTTTCAACTCTATTTCAGAGAAGGTATCTTTCCAAAATAACATCCGTCCTGTTCTCACTTGAGTTGGTAAAGTTACAAAGGTCATTTATTTTCAAATTGTTTTGTAACACTTGTGTTTGTACAGAGATCATTGTAGAAATAGACATTGTATTTATTTGTGTTGAGTAAAAGGTATGTGAGTTAGAAAATTTATCGTATCACTGTGAAGGATACGCAACTTTCTTCCTACTGTCATCAAAAGTGCACTTACAAATGTGCTACTACTTCCAATCCTTGATTACGCAATTAGGCCAAATCGAGCTTGTCGGAAAGCTCGATAGGTTACCAATACTTTGCCGAATTTCGGCCTTTGCCGAAATTCTCATATCCTTATGTGCCTTAGGAAAAATTTGTATTTTATTATAATTGTTGCAACACGAATGTGACATAAGTAAAGTCAAAGTATATGAATTACAGTTTAAGAGTCGCTGCTGTCGGTGTCACTAAATAAATCCTAAATTTCTTTTACAGAGATGGCTTACTAACACACTTAGAATTCCTGTTATTATATTTAGTGTGCAATCCATGCTTATAAATATGAAAGTGAGTTTGTTTGTTTGTTTGTTTGTTACTCTTTTAAGAGAATTTTGCTTGAAATTAATCTTTTCATGTATTAATTGTTCTTATAACATAAACGCTAAAGGCATAATATGCCTGTATTGAAGAGGCACAACACAAAGTAACCTTAAACTCAGAACAGTCTGTGGAGTATACAGAAACTGTCGTACATGCTTGACTACTGAACTATCACAACTGTCCTTAGCATCCCATTTCAACTTTATTTCACAATTAGTTTAACATTTTTATGGTACATAATAAACCTGTAGTAAGTAAAGATGTAATCTAATTTAAAATTTAAATGGAATTTTCGCCGGCGGTACGAAAACAGTCCGGCGGCCGGTCGCAAAGTGTGCAAATTCAATAAAACGTTGCAGAAAATAACAATACAATCACAAAAGGAAGACTTGAATTAAGAAAATATATTATTGTTAAACTACTTTAGTAACAATACTATACAATACTGTAATAATCAATAGTTACGTGCAATATATCCTGATTAGTACCGACCAACAGATACACCAACTTAAACTAAAACTATAAGTACTAGTTGACGATAACTGTTGTTTTAAGAAGCTAAAGCACTTTTGTTACTGTTATACGAGTATAACCAGTTAATGAACGTGTATTTTATTAAGATCATTCTAAATTACAAAAAAAAAACAAAGTAAGCCCTAAGTAAGCACCCTTCTTTTTATTTTATGAAAAGATTATATTTAAAAAAATTATCTTTCATAACTCAGTACTTTCAAAACAACACACCCTGATGTGAGGAACTAGTTACAAAAGCCGGTCAAACAAATCACTTCGTGTTCCTCTACTAAGGGTATGATATATGTATATTACCGCATACCGCGCTTCAAAGTTATTTAACTTTCGACATGTAAACGGAAGGATTTACCAAACATAAATATAAATTGTTGTAGAAATTTACTGTACATATTTTTAGTAAGTTTTGGGAGAGTAATATCTTTTGCATCACAATATGCATTAATTAAATACTTGGTTTGCATATCTTTACATTTACTCGTATAAATATACTTATATATACCTAATAACAAAAATTGGTTACCCTAAAGCAAGCTAAACGATTTCTATATATTATTTAAAAAAATGCATAATCAATGAGCAGTAACTTCGTCAATGTACTCAGTTTGTAATTTACCTAGTTTGTAAATATAGAAAATCCATGCTGATAAGTACATCCCTATTAATACTACGCTCCTCTCTACACACTTTGCTTATTATTCGTCAGAATTTTTAATGCAAAAGCCTTGGTTGTTTAAAGTCTGTGCCATGAAAGGCTAAATAAAATAACTAAAAGTGAATTGCTCTAATTTCGTGTTTCAAAGTGTGAAATTCCCAATGAATCATTTAGAATATGCCGAATCCGTCATCCATTTTAATAAAAAGAGCTTCAACGAATTTTCTATATGGGAAAATATAGGCAAAATTACAAAACCAATTAATTAATTTAATAAGGTAATTTTTATTAAGTTAATTTTTAATTATATATTTTCAGTTTGAGCTTATTCCTTGAAGCTTTACTTGTTTTTCATGCCTTTTATTATATATTATTTACTACTCCTTATTTATGAGCAAAACGAGAATCGACAGAGAGAATGGGTGACAAATCTAAAACTTACATACGTACATAGAAATATCTAAAACAGGGATTTCCAAACGATCTTGGGCACGAGACCCCTTTTCTAAAATGAACTGATACTTCAGACCCCAGCCATAGATAGTCAAATTACTGCACGTTTATCGACTTAGTGAGTTTATCAAAAGTACAACAATTATACTTCCCGCTAAAATGTTAGTCATTCTTATAACAAGTTGGTTCACGTAACACAACTAATACAGATTCTTGAAAGTTTCAAAAAAGAACTTGTTGCTAACTAATAGGGGTCGATTTGTACACTTCATCGACCCCCAAAATCGGTATTTAATTCTGTCAACCCCTAAGAAACCGATTTCGACCCCAAGGGGTCGATATCGACCACTTTGGGAATCTCTGATCTAAACCAATGTTAATATTCCTACTCAAGTCTAGAAATATATATAACTGAGCGGTATTCGAACTGCGACTTCTGACCTTCTAGTTAGTAGTAAAAAGATTAAGTTAGAAATAAGTTAAAATATTCTGAATTCTGCCAATGTATCCATGTTCAAATCATTGAACCCTGCATTGATTTGTATTATTGTAATTAGAATGCTTTAACTTCCGTCACGTAAATTTGACACATTTGTTTAATTAATTAACGGTAGGTACAGCAAAACCCCCTATTTCATTGGTGAATATAAACTAGTAGTAACTGAGAATATAAACTGTCTATTTTGACTATTACTGAACTTAATTGAAATACCTTGAACTAAGAAAAGAGTTAGGTTGTAAAAACTTAGTATATTGTGATATTCAATAAATGTGAAATCAAATAGGGTCAATAGATTTGGAAGTTTTACGATCAACGTCACTGATACCTACTTGTACCTACGGAACTTCCGGACACGTAAGCAGTAAAAGCTATTATCTTGGTACTTACTATGTAGAATTCATTCGGTTTCGAGCTAAGTCGAGTAGGTCGTTAATGTCGAGAGCATAGACACAAGAATCAAGATTAACGAGAAGTTCCGATTTGTAACACCGAGTGTTGCTCCATTTGAATTGCTAAATCTACTCTTTCAATGTTTCGAGTGAAGTAAAGTTGAAACAGCATATGCTATATTAATCTATTTTTCAACATCTTATTTCTCTTTTACTATTTTCATCGCTTTATTGTCTCTGTTTTATTTGATTTATGCACATTTTAAACTTTCTTTAAGTTAAAAACCTTAAATTAGTTAAAAATAATATAAAGGTAAAATTGTAATTCGGTGCGGTTAGGTAAAGTTAGGTACTCGTTAGAATTGTTCAAGTACATATCCTATTTTTGATTACCTATATTTTTCTATCTCTATCTTATAAAATATTTAGATGATGATGATGGGAAAACAAACTAAGTAGACTAGAGTAAATAAAGACTTATATTATTTCCAACATATCTATCGTGTATCTACAACCATTATGACATCTCGCCATTAGAAACATGCCGACAAACATCCCATAAAAATGCCAGGCAAATGAGTTAAAACGATTCGACTTTCTTGCCGTAGCATAGTTCCCTCTTCAAAAATCACGACATAAACTTAAAACTCTTGATTTTCATATTTTCCTAAATATATTTACACAAGATTTGCTTGATGGTAATGTTTAATGATGGTAAACCGTAAACTGAGCTGTCTGAAACAGTGTTGAAAATTTATTACAGGATTTTAGTAAATTGTACAATGTTTTCGAAAGATATTTAATTAAATTTATTTGCGTCGTGTTGAAAAGTTAGGTGTGTAAAGTATAAGTTATATGGTAAAATAGGTTTACTGCTTTACAGTATTGACGCAGAAAGACATAAAAAAATGTTTACCCTTACTACCTTAGTATTGTTTTACCTTTCATTTGGCGATTTTACAAAGTATTCTGTTAGGTATAGAATTATTACTTTATTTTTCATGGAATATTTCAAAGGCGTAGAAGTAGCAGTATATGATTAAAAGTACGAATGAATGTACTCACCTATGCTTTGGCTGACCCAAATGCCCAGCATGTCGAGCTGCAGCAAACGGTGATATAGCTTCGCCCCACTCGTATGGTTCATGAACAAGTGATAAATAAAAGAGCCACACCAAGGCGCTAGGGCTCCTAATAGATGACAAAGAGAAAGAAACCAGGCGCCGCTTCCGCTGCTCCACGGGAGAAGCCCTGGGAGCACTGCCATCATGTAGACTAATGACACACCTGCAACAAGAAAAGTTATGAATTAGTTTCTGGTCCAGATACATCACAATACCGAAAAAGCATTTCCTCTTGTTGCTCAATAACAGTTCAGCGGTCTAACAGTCAGTTACAATAATAATTGAACAAACGACAAAAAATTACAAGTTAACAATTTAATTTGTTTATTAGAATGCACTAAGCATTCCGGATTAAAGCAAATGATGTTCATATTAATGATTGGCTTGCCTTTGCCATGACATGTTATGATAGGTCTATGTCGTGACCTATTATCTACGGATATGCCATTCTAATTACGAGACTTATTATTGACGTACTGACCTAGCAACAATGTATTTATTATCTTTCGTGAGGGAATCACGAAGTTGTGACAACCATTGGTTTAATTAGTTTATTTAATAGGCTACGTAATTTTGATAAATAATGTGACCGGAGTCATTTTATATAAAACCTATTAATTACCTAACCCAAAAATAGGATTTGTGACAAAATATTTCTGTCCACTGCTGGACATAGGCCTCTCCCATTGCACGCCACTACATTGCCAGTCAGAAGAAGTCATGATGATGATTCCTGTAGTTCCCACCGGATAACACAATCGCTCCAGGAGATGATGATTGAGATGAGAAGATGGATTTGGGTTATCAACTACCTTGAACCCAGTGATCAGCGCCTACAATTGTTCAATTTTTCAAAAGTCACAAGTGCATTGCTGCCCTTGGAGTCCCTCCCGCTCAGTCGCCGAGTCAGTGGGAGGGGGGATTTGGGCTCCGGTAACCTCACTCACTCAGTGAAAGGCAACGAAAGAATTGCTTAACACCGGTTTTCTGTGAGGCCGTGGTATCACTCCGGTCGAGCCGGCCCATTCGCGCCGAAGCATGGCTCTCCCACGGAAATCCCCATTTTGGTTATATCTTTGGTATGCCTAGTTAAAATATCCGGTGACGTAATCACGATTATGAAAAAAGTCAAAACGCTTTTCCCTTGATAGCTCTTTACATTACACAGTATTTACTTACGTGCACATGAATATTGTGCTTCTTATGTTATATGTATGTATAAAAGCTAAGTTTTATTATAAAAGTAACTTGAAATTAAAATATTACTTTAATCACGATTGCGGTAAAATGACAGAAATCTAATCTAATCCCATATCTTTCTTACTTGTGAAGCGCAAAGGCACTTCCTACCTTTTTCTCGAAGCTAGGAGTGAATGTTTTTGGTGGGATTTTATGTTCTTAACACTACGATAGCGAAACTTATACTATCGTTTTATAATTTGCAATATGTGACCAAAGTATACTTTATGTAAGGCACCTCACACAGTATTTAAGCTTCTTTGCCATTTGCATTGTTATTAAACACATTTATGAATAATAAATGTAGAAGCAATGACGTAACAGACGCCTCAATTCAGTTTTTCCAATTATTGCAAATTTGTCTATTTTCACAACTATTTTCTAATTCATACGAAGTCATAAAAGTGAATATTAGTTCATGACTCGAATAGATAATGAAAGAAACTTATAAAAGCTTTACGCTTAGCCTTTGTTCTGTTCTTTTGAACAATAGATTAGATTGCCGATTCTAGTAGCCCTATTTAAGTTAACGTTCCATAGAATTTGGTGTACTCGTATTGTGAATTTGGCATTGTAAAAAAAACAAAGAAAGGCTGTGGACTAGTATAGGACCTAAAATAATTATATATATCAATGTTAATACATACTCGTATTACTGGAGAAAAAGTGAACAAATACGTCGTCCACCGATTATTTGGGCGACGATTATTAGTCACAACCATGTAAGTTGGTCTACTCTCTTCATACTATTTCAGAATTGGCACGATGACAGACAACTCCTAGCTTGAGCTGGTGGGTTATATAAATAAAATAAATATTAATTTAATAAAAATAATTAATTATATCTTCGGTGATAGACTAATTATATAATGGTCTCACGTTTAATCTATCATATTTGGAAGTATTTTTGGTTTCAGCAGCACGTCTCATCTTCATATGACGAGTATATTAGGTTCATTCGGTGGACATATTTCAATCATTCATTTTACTCTACGGTGAACTCTCATTTCCTGAAATATTTAGTAGGTAACACAAATCGAAAATACAATCATTCACTGCGTTAAGTCTTTAATAACGTTTCCTCCTCTTGTTAATGGTTTAATTTTATTTTATACAATTTCTGCGTTGAATCCGGACAACTACTTAGGACACACTGAATGTTTCTGGATTCTGATAAATAAGACTAGAGATAAGACTACGATACATTTATTGTTTTTTTTTAAAGTATATTCCCTCGCAATTAGTGCATTTTCGCTGAAACCACGGTACAAAGGAGTTGGACCAGTCTTCCTTAGGGACCACTTCAATGGCTTCATAGAAAGCATTTACCGCCGATTCAGGTCTGATAAAACGTGTGCCTCTAAGTTTGTCTTTAATTTGTGGCAACAAAAAGAACTCGCAGGGTAGGAGGTCCAGGCTGTAAGGCGGATCCGTCATCAGTACTGATGTCCCAATCTGCAGTCACTGTTTTTGATCTTCAAGCGATACTGTAGTGTAATGTCCTGATTTGCCGAAAAAAGAAGCAACCATTTTTTATCAATGCTTCGACTTGTCTTAACTTTCGTTAGCAAATCTTTAAAAAGAAAGACCCACTTTGCCGACTGGCTTTTTGTTTCGGGTTCAAAGCAGTACACCCAGGTTTCGTCACCTGTCACTGTATTATAGACAGTCAATGTTGTTGTTGTTGTTGAACTTTTTATCTTGACTTGAAGTCGTTTCTGGTCCTCCGTTAAATCATGCGGTATCTTGGCTTATTTTAATGCCTAACAAAGCACGAATTTGCTGGCAAGTAAGTTTCTTATAAGTTTCAATAAGTTGTCGTACGGTGTCAACATTAGAACCTGTAACAGCAGTCGCTGGCCAACCTTCACGTACCTCTTCATGGAGATTATCACGTCCACGTCTGAATTCTTCAAACTACGAATGTACAGAGTTGCAACATGGTGCTTCATCACCAAATGAAAATTGAAGTCTCTAGCACCTCTCTTGTTGACTTGAGCCACATCGAATATCATAAAGAATTATTGAATGAAATTGTTTACGAGTTTAATTCATTTTGATAGTGACACACAATTTTCAAAAGGACGTCACAATGAAAAAATAAATTATAGTCTCACAAATTAAAAAGTAACATGTTCCCAAAGAGTTCCATATTCGAATTCCATAATTGTTTTTTGATTCTGTTATTGTAAGTGGCCAGATCCAAAAACTTTCAGTATGCCCAACGTACTAAATAAATCTACATACATAATCTTATGTGTGTAAATATATAGAGAAAAATATATATAATATATACATAAGATTATGTATGTAGATTTATTTAGTAGTCGTACGTAAGAAAATTGTGACTTCTATTTTCTTATTTATGTCGAAGGGGTTCCGAAAAGAAAGGATACAGTTACAAATTGTAATTCAAGGCAAATTGAGGACAATCTGATTTTTGTCGATCGAACCGCATTCACATATTTAATTATGTGTGTGGAGTACAAATTGATTCTCTTTTTGACAAAGATACATTGCATAAAGTGCAGACTTGGCTTTATGTTTTCATTCTGAACACTCCTTGAAACTTATAGATAGAGCTCTCGCCTTTTTTAGTAATATTACAGTCATTTTTAGTTAAAACAAAAACTTAATGTGAGTTATTATGTAGTCAAAAAACCTCGCTTTAAGATCGATTTTCAACTCAATTCACCGACCTTAGCGAGTGCTTTGCACAAGTTTTGCTATAAGTTCACCTAAGTATCTGAACTTCAGTGGCAGTATAATGACCATTGAACGCTAAAGGTTTTGTATTATAATTACACAAGGAACATTCTCGTTTTCACTTCAGTGAACCTATTTCTTCGTTGTTCACTACTTTCTAAATAATGATGTGTTGACTTTCCTCTTTTATAGAAGTGCGTTAAATTGCGGGAACTCCGTTAACCATGAATAAAATATTTTTAACCAAGAACCTTGTATAAAACACTTTCCTAAACCGTCAAAAAACGTAGACAAAATCTTCCGTGGATTTTTATCATTACTATTTGGGGATTAAAATCTCTTGCTTCATTTTGACTCATATGGTGTTTCAGTACACTTTAATATGGTATACATAAACACCATGTTAATTTCAGCACATAATCACAGAATAAATAACAACAGTCTCAACTACGTAACGTACTTATAAATAACTTTGTTGAGTTGCTGCTGTCAGTTCCTTCTCATTTGCTTTCCACGTTCCCTTCAAAATTAAATCGTCATTTGTTTTCATCAAACGAGCACATATTTTAAAGACTCTCGATGTGTCGAACTCAGTCCCAATTAAATGGATTTAGTAACTTTTGTGAAGCGAAACATATTTCGCTATAAGTTTCTGTCTACATACCTAAGTATAAAATTGTAACACATACAATAACCCGTGTTGGAGATATAAACGATAGATACTTTGTAATATTACAAAAGGGATAAACGTATGCTGAGAAGATGACAGTGATGAATTGAGTTGATATATATTTTACGGAGCCCAGGCTCTATATTCAAATATAGATTACAAAAATGACTATTTTAGAACTCAATATTCTTAAAAAACATGTGCATTTGTTTTTTATCAATAAAAGTGTACAAAGTAGCCTCTTCTATAGTAATAATTATCATTATATGTATTTTAAATTGTAATTTGTATAATAATTGTAGCAAGTGTGGTACTAATTAAAATTATTTTAGGAATTCGTTCTTTAATTGAGGGAAAGGAACCCTTTACCTCATTTAAGGATATAATAGAACCCTTAGATAACTTCTTTGGCAGACAGACGGGTATCATCCTTTTAAAGTCAACAAAATCATGAGATTCCGTATCTTCTTTGTCATTTAAGCCTTATATTTTATTTAACCTATAAGTAGAGAACTTTCAATTGACTTAGAATCATGTAAAGGTGCTTA